CCGCTTCTGAAGTATTTCCTTTTCTTTTCGAAGGAACCACGTCCAGTCTTCGTCATTCTCCCGAGATGTTATTCCATAAGCAAGAGGATATAGTCCATCGTCCGCATCATACCCAGTGGCACCCAACAAGGTGCCCTAAAAATTGCCACTAAGGTGACAAACATCTATTGAAATAAATGGCCTACAATGTTGGAACCCACATATCGAACATGCATATGCTATAAACAGTGCTTTAAATTTCATGTCATCGATCGTGATTAACTCCACTATTGATTCTGGCATAGAATCTTTAATGCGTTGACAATAAAAAGGGATTATCTTGTAACCATCCTCAGGCCTCCCATCAATTATCTGTTTTGCACACTCTTTTGTCCGCCACATTTGCATGTAATTCAGTTTTGTGTTGAATATGCTTTTAATATCATTCCCGATGCATCTTGGAGTATAATTCAGTGCTTCTGAAATTTTTCCCGCCATCAATTTATCCAACTGTTTTGGGCGTATGTTTGGCCTCATACTGGATATGTCTTATGCAGTGTGTGTATGCACATTCGTAAAGCGTTTTACCCTTACTATATCACAATTTCCATTACACCCAGCTGTTAATTTCCAAGGACATCCTTCAATGGTACATACTATTCTATAGTAACTCCGACTGCTTTGTAGATACTTTATTCTAAAGTGGTTTGTCAAAGCAAAATGAGCCACTGATAGCTTAAAATCATTTATACTATCAAATAATTGCCCCTGGCCTTGAAGTATTTCGACCAAGCCATTAAAGATAGGATTCAAGTATGATGGTGGGTCAATTAATTGTGCATTATTGTGTGACTCATTATTCAAAGGCGCACCTTGATGGATAAACTCCTTGTAAAGCAATTTCATAGTCATGTTATAAGAAGTGTAGTACAACACAAATATAAGATTTCTCATGATTAACAATATAAATTATGTACAATTAATGTACCTGGAACTGAATGGCTGAGATGGTAAGACTATCTCGTCGCGAATTAATGCATTTATTACATAAAGATCAGTTGTATAGTTGTTTAGGCTAAACATTGCCCTTAAACCACTTTCCCCGCATAACTGCATTAGTTCAGTTTGCCTATACTTATATTTTATAACTTTGTCATTCAAGTTAATTGAAAGTTCTGTAGATATATTCTGTAATAATTCATTATATTTAGTATTTGAATTCACTATCAAGGCCGCCGCTATCCCACCGCGATAGGAAATATTTTCATCACATACTATCAATTCACCACCATAGTGGCATATGCAAATTAATTCCTTCATTTGTTAATCCGAGATTGTTTTGTCTCTAGGCTGGCAATGTGCAGATTCTGGAGAGATTATGTCTATAAATTAACAACATTCACAAAAAATCAAACCCTCAAAAGAAAAATAAGTGGGAAAAAAAAAAAAAAAAAAAAAAAACCGCTTTAAATGGCATAAACATCTCATTCCAGTTATCAGGCTATGTTGTTTTGTATGTAAGGGATAAACCACCTTATCTCATAATCAGGTTGCACAATTGACACCTTAATTATGATGAGCATGTGCAAATAATTGAAATGATAATGCTAGACTTGCAAAATAGACATCTCGAAATGTTAATAAAAATCATAATGTTAAAGCCGATATCAACTGCTAGTTTCCTCTAATAAAAATCATAATTGTTGATGATGAAGAAAACAAGCAAGTGTAAAATGATAATGCTAAAGCCGATATCAACTGCTAGTTTCCCCTGATATTCTGAGTATAATGATAACAAACGGCCCTATAAAACATAGGACCATGGGTTATGTAATATAAAAATTAAAGTTTTGAGCAAATCTGTGACCTGCTCCAGCAACCATCAACTTACAAGGTTTCCATCTAATGAACTGGAACTTAATGAATTATTTCTCTTGCATCTTTATTTTCTTCTCAACTAATCTTTCAAAATAAATTCTTTCTCTAGATTCACTTTAAAACAGAGAAATGAAGTTTTTAACATAAATCATTTCAATTTCACAAAACTCTAAAATCGAATAATATTCAACCACAAAATTGAAACAAACAACTCAAAAAAATCACAATGTTCAACTTAATTGGAGAAACTGAAACCAAAGGGCTCAAACATAATAGGAAAATACCTTGGATCAGTCGTGTATGCTCTAAAATCGCGTCCAAATCAATAGAAGAAAACTCAATAGCACAATATTCGGAGAAATCAATAGCACCTTCGATCTTTGATATGGTGAAATTGATCACCCTTGAATCGGCAGAGAGAGTATCAAACGAGGAGAGAGAAAATTATGCCCTAAAATGAAAACATCGGTGTGAAGGCTAGAGTGAGAAAAACAAAATGAAGAGTATTTTGGACCATAAAAAAATGTAAATAGTGTTTTAGTATAGTTTTGTAATTAGTTTCAAGAAATTAGTAGTCAAACCTATTAGTTTGTAAAAGTTAGCATTTTTTAAATTATACAAAATTAAGTAGAGTATTTTTAAATTTTCCCCATTTTATTATGTGGCAGGGGTGTCTTTGTTAACTTTATTCAATTTTAGGATAGTCATTGTTTAAAAAGGGATCGACTTTTATCTCGTTGTCAATAAGACAAACCTCAGAGAGTGTGAGTGTAATTAACTCAAAAGGGAAAGAAGATTTCCTCTATGTTCCAACGATTTCGTTTTGATGATATAAAGGAAAATGTAATACAAAGTTTAAAATAATAGTGTTGTATGTCGATTTAATTATAGCAACTTTAAATATTTAATTAAAATTAAAATTGCAAAATATTTAATTGAGACTCGAAATGATGATGTATTTTTATTTAAATATTTTACGTGTGTATAATTGAGGATGCAATAGGAAATGTATTATTTATAAAAAAAACAAAAATGTTTGAGATGATTCAGCAATTTGTCTTTATTTATTTATTTTTAATTTTTTATATATATATTTAAATGTTCAGCAATTTGTCTTGTAAGCAAAAGAACATGTCATTATGTGTGTGATTTTAGCGTCAAATGGCTAGAAAAGATAATAATAGAAGAAAGAAATCATCCATTAGCGGGCAAAAAAATGTGGGTGAATGTATTTATTTTCAATGAAAAAAATAAAAAGAACTAGGTTTTGTTTGGTTAGGTGGAAATAGCTAGAAAAGAAAGGAAAGAGAAAAATTTTAAATTTTTTAGAGTCTGGATAGATAGAAAAATAAAATTAATAAAAAAATTTGTTTCCATACTTGTCTATTTTCTTTCAAAACTTTTCATGCACAAAACATGAAGGAAATATTTTTTTTTTCGGGTGAAATGTTTGCCATTTTATTAGACATTTCTATTTTACCCATAGAATTTTTTTTCACTTTCATGCTATTCAAAATAACAAATTAAAATTTTTCTATAATTTTCTTAAATAAATTTTCATTCTAACCAAATGCATGCTGGAAAATAATTTTTTTTTTCCATTCACTTCACTTTTCTTTCATTTTCCATTTTCCATTTATTTATTTATTTTTTTTTTACTTATTTCCATCTAACCAAACGGAGCCCTAGAGAATATAGAGTATAGATAGTTAGGATTTTTTTGCTTTTATGTCGTAAATTGCACACACGTGTGCTCACTTTGTATGCTCAATTGTTTCAATAAGTATATATATATATATATATATATATATATATATATTGACGGATTAAACAGACTCAAATACTGGCACATTCGTTTATGGAATTGAACGCCCTACCAATCAGGCCTTTAAATAGAGAAATGATACATTTGCCGACTTAATCCTCCGAGTTATCCTCCGAATCCTAGGTGGCCAGGCCAAGTCAACAACAAAAAAACACTGCTTGCTCTCTCTCTCTCTCTCATTCCCTCTCCACGATTCCCCCTCTGTTTCTACCATCACTGGCTTTCTCCACCGGTACAGGGAGATAGAGCATGAGAAAGAAATCAAATTCCAATCATCATCCAACCAAGAATCTCATCTCTGAGTTGCTTAGAGGTGCCACCGGAAACTTCGCCGCATCAAATAACCGTCGCCCACCGCGAGCCCATCCTCACCACCATCCAAGCTGTCCATTTGAGCCGCCGTAAGCTCGTTGCTCCACAGCCGAGCCAGCCCTCCTCGAGTGTGGCAGCTTACCCCCAGAAACTGACCCACTCGCCGACGATCAGCCCCAAACTGGTTTTCCCGGCGAAGAGCTCTCACCGATCTCACACACTCTTCGACTTGGTTCTTCCGAGTTTGAGACCGTCACAGCCAGACCATCTCCACCTCGGCGTGCACAAGCCGCAGTTGCCAAAGCTGGATCTGTCTTGCTGGCTGCCGAACCATCCCGCCGCTTGAGAGGAGAATCGTGGAGAGAGAAAGAGCTGTGATTTTTTTGTGTCGCCGGCGAAACATCCTGCCTGGCTTGAGATAAGAGCTTGAGAAGAGAATCGTGGAGAGAGAGAGCTGCGATTTTTTTTATCTGACGTGGCTTGGCCATCTAGGATTCGGAGGATAAATCGGAGGATTAGGTCGGCAAATGTATCATTTCTATATTAATATTGCTTTTCTAAGCCACAAACTTAATTCTAAGTAAATTCGGTAATATAATTTGAAAGGAGACTTTAATTGCGCTCTACAGACCCTATGCCTTTCCTTACTTTAATATATAGAGTGCTAATCAGTAATCACACCACTCTAATTTGAATTATCATTTTAAAAAAACAAAAGTAGACTTAAGCGACTTAATTGGAGGAGACTTATTGTCTATTAAGGTTTCTTTCTTTAAATTTCAACACTAAAAATTCAACATTAAATTTTTGATAAAGGACAAAATAATAATAAAATAATCTTTCTATCACTTCCATAATTTCGTAAAAATGTTACGAATAGGATGACAATTCGTGTTAAGACTCTACACGGCACTTGTTTATTTTTTTTTCTGTTTTTCTTAAAAATAAAATAAATACTAAATTAAATCACAAGTGACCCAAAATTTAGTGGACCGCGGACAATAATTTGCGTCTATAAACCCTCTGCAGTGAATTACCTGAATGCGCAGTAGTCATACAGTGGTTCTTCGAAGCTCTCAAACACGAGAAATGAGTTCGTAGCATTTCAAATTCTCCATCCAACACTATGCTTGTGCATGCTATTTAGGGTTTTATATATACCAAATTGAGCTCCCAACATGTGCTACTCTCGAATCTTTTCTCATTCTCTATTACGCCATTGCAGAAGCACTTATCAAAACCCTAGATTTCAGGGGTTAACGCAACCCAAAACTATACTCTTCTCAACATCTTCTATACACATCACTGTAAACCCTAATTTTACTCGGGAATACACATCGTCTGCCCAGGAATCGAAACCAGCTCCGTCGGAGAGGGTTTCGGCGATTGTTGATGAGATCTCCGGGCTCACTTTGCTTGAAGCGTCCGATTTGACGGAGGTTTTGAGGAAGAAATTGGGCATAAATGAGATGCCGGTGATGGCGGTGATGATGCCGGGGATGGGGTTCGGTGTGCAGGGTGGGGGGAAGGGCGGTGGAGCGGCGAAGGAGGAGGAGAAGAAGGTGGAGAAGACGGCTTTCGATTTGAAGCTCGAAGGAGGGTATGATGCGGGGTCAAAGATCAAGATTATTAAGGAAGTGAGGGCGTGTACTGATTTGGGGTTGAAGGAAGCGAAAGATTTAGTGGAGAAGGCGCCAACCCTTTTGAAGAAGGGGGTGACGAAGGAAGAAGCAGAGAAGATTATTGAAAAGATGAAGGAGATTGGTGCAAAAGTGACGATGGAGTGAGGTAAATGCAATTACTCTATCTTTGTGAATTTAGTTTGTGTTTGTTGAATGCGATGAATTTGAATCCGCTGTCATATGATGTTGTGGAAGCTGTGATGTTCTTTGATATGAGCTTATGATGAACACTTGAATCTGCTAATTTGATTACAGTGTTATGTTTGATCGCAACAAATTTGCATGTGTGGTGTGCAAAATTTTAGTTGGCAGGTCATAATTTGTTGTTCTCTTATTTTCTTTGTGTTTTCGGTGTATTTTGTGGTAAACCTGATCGATGATCTAACAGCTCTGTGCTCAGACACATTTGGTTGTTCTTAAATTGTTATCACTGCCTGGAGTAAAAGGGCGCCACCAGTTTCAATTCTGAAGTCTAAAGGTCTTTCTTAATTGCAAGGGGAAGGGATACTTTAAAATGTTATGTGTATCTCTCTGTAGGAACTTGGCTCCAGGAGCAAAAAATTATCTTAACAGATTGCTTCAAATGACATTTATTTCTCACTAAATTTGGATTTCACAAAAGCTTATGCAGTATTTCTGTTTTTAGTCTTCTATCACAATTTCCACTTTTGACTGTGACGTAATCGGAAGCGATAAATTTGTTTACGAGGAACGGTTATCTTGAATCCACAAGGTGGTGTAGTTTGAATCCACAAACTAGTAGAAAATTTACAGAGGAATTTGATAATATATTTAATAATTGAATGAATGATCTGCTCTGCAATACATGTATTTATAAATAAAAACCCTAACAGCATAAAGGAAATCCTAAAAACGTAAGGAAACTAGCAGTGCAAGGAAACTGCATAAAGGAAATCCTAAAAGCGTAAGAAAACTAGCAGCGCAAGAAAACTGCTCAAAAACAAACTTGCTCTGAATATTCTTAAAAAATAAGGAAAGAAACTTAATTACTAAATACCAAACAAGAAAGCAAATTGAATCCGTTTAGTCTTCTAACGAAAATTCCGAAATATTCAAAAATGAGAAAACGCCATTCTCAAGCCTTAAACGATTGAATTTGGCCAAAAGACGCCCTACCTTGGCAGCGAAGCTACCAATATATGCGAGTTGGGCCCTTTCTGATAAATCTGGGCTCTTTCCGGGTTCACTTAGGGATCAGTCCAGAAAATCCGTCAATATGTCCGTTTGGCCCCTTGGCGGTCCAAACGGGCCATAAAGGCTTCAGCAATCAATTCTACATCAGTCTCCCCTGCTTGATAAGAACTCGTCCTCGAGTTAAGACTAAAAGAGCGCGTCTCATCTGGTGGAAAATACTCAAATAGATCTGCAACATTAAATGTAGGAGAAATAGTCATGTCTTCGGGAAGCTCAACAACATAAGCATTATCATTAATCTTCTTCAGAATCTGATAAGGCCCATATTTCTTGTTCTTCAATTTGTTGTAGGTACCAATAGGAAACCTCTCCTTGCGTAGAAACACCATAACTAAATCTAGTAAAATGAGGATGATGCATCAGGAATGGTCGGGATAGCTTAGCTGGTAGAGCAGAGGACTGAAAATCTGCCCATATTTCTTGTTCTTCAATTTGTTGTAGGTACCAACAAGAAACCTCTTCTTGCGTAGAAACACCATAACTAAATCTCCTTCTTGAAATACTTTCTTCCGCCTCTTCTTGTCTGCTGCTTCCTTTTATTTCGCATTGGCTTGTTCAAGATACATTCGAACCTCATCCTGAATGGCTTAGATGCAATCTGCCATGTGTTCTGCAACAACACTCTTTCCAGGCAACTTCGGAAGTGGGGCCAAATCCAATGCATGCTTTGGCGGATGATAGTAAACAATAGCGAAAGGCGACTTGCCTGTTGACCGATTGACCATGCTGTTATATGCTACTTCTGCCTATGACAACGCAAGATCCCACTGTTTTGGTTTCTCACCAGAAATACAACGAATCAGATTGCCCAAAGTTTGATTGACCACCTCTGTTTGACCATCAAATTGCGGATGACTATTGCTACTGAAATTCAAAGATGTATCAAAATGCCTCCATAAAGTCCTCCAAAAATGGGATATAAATTTGGTGTCCCTATCAGAAGTGATGGACTTAGGAACGCCATGAAGACGAACAACTTCTTTAAAAAACAGATTTGCAACATGTGTAGCATTAGAAGTCTTCTTGCAAGATATGAAATGAGCCATCTTATAATAACGATCAACAACTACAAAAACTGAATCTGCCCCTCGTTGAGTGCGTGGAAGTCCTAGGATAAAGTCCATAGACAAATCTTCCCAAGGACAATTTGGTGTAGGTAGAAGGATATAAAGACCAGTGTTTTGAGATTGACCTTTAGCAGATTGACAGATTGGACACCGCCACACATGGTTGCCAACATCTCTCTTGAGTTGTGGCCAATAATATCGCTCTTCGACCAAAGCTATGGCCTTATCTCGACCAAGATGTCCACCTAGACCGCCACCGTTTAATTCATGAATAATCTGCTCGCGAAGGGAACTCTTCGGAACACAAAACTGATTACCACAAAAAAGAAATCCCTCATGTATGTGCATACTCTTAGCAACTTGTCCAGTCTGGCACTTAGCCCAAAATTCCTTGAAGTTATCATCTTCCCCATACAACTCCTTCAAACAGTCAAAACTCACAACTTCAGCTCGCAATGTCACTAGGAGTGCTGCTCTTCGGCTAAGTGCATCAGCAACTCTGTTCTGCTGGCCTAACTTATGCCTTAAGGAAAAGGTAAATCGCTGTAGGAAAGAAACCCATCTAGCATGCATCCTGTTAATATTATTCTGGCTGTTGATGAACTTCAAAGCCTGATGATCAGTGTAAATAACGAACTCTCTCTGCACCAGATAATGTTCCCAAACCTTCAATGCATGTACCACCGAATAGAACTCAAGCTCATAGGTAGCTCACTTTTTCCTTGCATCACTAAGCTTCTCACTATGGAATGCAACTGGTCTGCCCTCTTGGGAAAGAACAGCACCAACTCTAACAGCTGAGGCATCACACTCAACCTCAAACAATTTCTCAAAACTTGGCAATGCTAGAATAGGTGTATTGGACAGTTTTTCTTTGATCAGCGCAAAGCTCTGTTCTGCCTCTTCACCCCCATTTAAATTTTCCCTTCTTCATGCATTCTGTAATAGGAGCAACAATATTGTTGAAATTTTTTATGAATCTCCTATGAAACATTGCTAAACCATGAAAACTGTGCACATCGCCTACTGTTTTTGGCGTGGGCCATTCTCGAATTGCTCTTAACTTTTTCCTTATCAACCCGAATGCCTTTAGCACTCGCCACAAAACCCAGAAACAATAAATTGTTGGTTATAAAAGTGCACTTTTTCAGATTGATGTACAACTTGTTTGCCTACAAAACTGTCAGTACCTCCCTCAAGTGCGATTGATGCTCCGTATCTGACTAACTATAAATTAGGATATCATCAAAATAGACAACAACGAATCTGCCAATAAAATGTTTCAACACTTGATTCATAAGCCTCATAAAAGTGCTTGGAGCATTAGACAATCCAAAAGACCCTCTTTAGTCTTGAAAGCAGTCTTCCATTCGCCCCCTGGTCTAATACGAATTTGGTGGTAGCCGCTTCTCAAATCAATTTTTGAAAAGAGTTTTGAACCAGCCAGCATATCCAACATATCATCTAACCGTGGAATAGGAAATCTGTACTTGATGGTGATCTTGTTGATGGCTCTGCTATCGATATACATACACCAATTACCATCCTTCTTTGGTACTAACAAAGCTGGAACAGCACACGGACTCATACTCTCACCATACCCTTCTGAACCAACTCCGTAACTTGGTCCTGCAGAATCTGGCACTCCTTTGGACTCATGCGATAGTGTGGTAAATGCGGCAGACTAGCCCCAGGCACAAGATCTATGTGCTGAATATCTTGCATAGGAGGTAGACCACTAGGCAACTCGTCTGGAATAATCTCTCGAAACTCTTCAAGCATGGGTTGTATCACTGTTGGAATTGCAGAAGGATTATCAGACATCTCTTCTCCAACCACTAGAGCCAAGAACTGTCGGGACTCCTTGGCCTCCTCCAAAAACTGTTGCTCACTGCCAATTAAAAGAACTGACTTTCCCTTGGCTTGTAAAACCTTGGAAAAATCCCCTTCGGTCATAGGACCCAGCACCCTTTCTTTATCAAACATGTAAACATTATCTTTGCCCTTATGAGTGGCGTTGACGTCAAACTGCCATGGTCTGCCCAGAATCAAGTGACAAGCATCTATATCAACAACATCGCACAACGCCTCATCAATATATTTATTACCAATAGAAAAGGAAACCCGGCAGATATCTGTAACCCTTGTTTCTGCCCCTTTTTTAATCCAACCAATTTTGTGGGGACTCGAATGCTTCTCTGTTTTCAGCCCTAACTTTTGGACCATCGCCCTTGACACAATATTCTTGCTGCTGCCACCATCAATAATAACATCACAGACTTTCTTATTGATAGTGCATCGTGTCTGAAATATATTGTGCCTCTGTGGATGCTCTTCCGTTTTCGGGGCAAGTAACAGCCTTCGCACAACTAGAGAATGGGAGAGTAGATCCCCCTCATCTTCTCCGATCACCTCTTCCTCATCGTATAAAGGAAACCCTTTGTCATCTTCTCTATCTTGATCCTCCTCGCCCCCAGGTTCTATTAAGTTGACTGAGCGCCTTTGGGGACATTCATTAGATCAATGTCCTGGTTGCCCACATCGATAACACTTAATAGGGTTTGGTCAACTGTAGGGTTTATTTTTGGATGTATCCGGATGTGCCATGGGGGCTGTTCCGGTCTTCTTTGGCTAAGTACTGGTGCTAGCCAAATCAGGTATTGCTGGAATGGAAGGTTGAGAATACATGGGGGGTTCGTCACTGAACGCATCGAATCAAAGTAATTTTTGGAGCCAGCCGGTGTTTTTGATTTTTCCAAAAAGGCCTCTGCCCTGGTTGCTGCATTCGTGGCTTCTTGTAAAGTGTAAATTATCTGTGTTGATA